TTATTTTGATATATCACAGTGAAAGATTTATCGTCCTCTTTTTTAAAAGGAGCCCCCCAAAAAAAAAAAAAAAAAAAAAAAAAAAAAAAAAAGTCTATTTAAATGGAAAATAGACCTTGTCTTCTGATTGTTAAAGTTCTATTAGGACTTTTGGGTAACTGTATATGGATTGATTTTTTTTTTTTTTTTTTTTTGCATTTGTAGCTTGCATAAAAACTCCTCAGATATTAGTCATAAGGATCCACAGATGTCTCAGAGTATAGTTTATGCACTTCTCAGTAACAGTTTCTTCCTAGAGTATAATTGTACCACCTGAAGTTCCTGAAGCAAAATATATTGCTTTCATTAGGGGGTCTTCCTTTTTGTTAAAGATTAGGAACAATACTCAGAGCTACCTCTTGACTGCCAGGCAGATATTGCACTGGGCTCTGAGGATAAGTAGTGTATGGTCCCTTTCCCTTTGGAGTTGAACTGTCAAGGGACAGTGGTAGTGTCTAATGGAGCCAGGTGAACATGGGAGGGAAGGAGGCCATTCTCAGCAGCTGCCAAGGATAAGAAGTCTCTTAGTAGTTGTTTGCAAATGCCTTACCCTTCTGAGATATAAGCCCCTCTCTCCTGTACCCATCTCTTCCACTTAGACCCTTAGGTGCACATGACCATGACTGTGAATTATTTTCTTCCCCCAGGCTGTGCTTGGTAAGTTTTGTTTGATTACATCCAAATAGTAGGTGTTGGTGGTATTTTACAGCACTCCCTGCACTCTTCCCACGCTAACTAGTATCTTGAGTAACTTCCTTGGTAGAAGAGAGAAATAATTTGGAAGAAAATCTAGTCATTTTTCATTTGTTTTAAATTTCTCCATTACTTCTCTTCCCTAAGACATCTGTTTGGGTACTTTTATCTGTACGTTTTCTGCTTCCCCAAAAAAATCAATTAAGAAGCCAGATTGTTTTTATCTTTTTATCATGCAACCATTGAGCTATTTTAGTAACATTGCAGTTATAGCAAAATAAATGTTGCAAAACATGACAACTGAGAGGCAAGTTCCACTACTTTAGAGCTTTTTAATTAGAGTGGAAATGAGACATGACTGTCCTGCCTAAAATTATAGTTACCTGCAGATTTAAAGAGCCCATCCTCAGTTTCTGTTCCTCATCCCTGCCAGATTTTCTCTTACACTGTTGATGCAACTGACTGGCCTTTCTATGGTATCAGTCCATGGTTTACATGTGGCTGTGTCTTGCTGTCTACTCAGGTATACCCTTGCCCAAAGTGTTTGATTCAGTGAGCAAGGAGCCAGCCGTGTTCACTCCTCTTGCTCTATTGCTCTTACCTTCACTCTTGTTTGTTTTGAGATAGGTCCCTGCTTCGTAGCCCTGGTAGACTTGGAGCTCACTGTGTAGACCAGGCTGGCCTCCAACTTGTAGTGATCCTCCTGTGTCTCCTTCCTGAGTGCTGAGATTACAGGCAATGCACCACCATGCCTGGCTTTTCTTTCTTTTTTCTGTGATAGTATACATGTATGTTATCATTTTAAACTTGTGAGGAGGACATGCTAAGGATCAAACATTTGGCTTTGTGCACACCAGGCAAGTACTCTGCCATTGAGCTATGTACTCTAGCCTCTCGTTTTAACCATTTTTAAGTGTATAGTTCAGTGGCTTTCATATTTACTAACATTCACATTGTTGTGGAATCCCCACCTCCAATGCATTTCCAGAACTTTCTCATCAGTGCAAATTGCAACTTTTTTTTAATGTTTTTAATTTCATTTTTATTTTATGTATATGCATTTTTGCCTTCATGTATGTAAGTGCACCATGTGTGTGCAATGCCTGAGGAGGCCAGAAGAGGGTGATGGATCCTGGAACTGGAATTGTTAGCTACCATGTGAGTGCTGGGAACCAAATCCAGGTCCTCTGCAAGAGTAGCCAGTGCTCTTAACCATGAACCATCTCTCCAGCTGGAAACTGTCTTTCAATAAATAATTCCTGAACTGGGCATGGTGTGGTACATCTCTGAACACCTACCCCTTGGGAAGCTGAGGCAAGAGGATTGTATGTTTGAGACCATCCTGGGCTACATTGACTCTTTATCAAAAACCAGAAAACTTCAGACTCTTATTCCTAATTCTCCCTAACCCCTAAAAATCACCATTCTGGGTACCTTTTTTCTAAAGTTATATATTTATAAAACCAGACTAAAGTTAGAGCATATGTATTTATTTGTTATAGTTAGTATTAACTTCATGTATTTACATTTAAATTTTAAGAAATTTGACAATTAAATAGTTTGTGCAACATACTATTTTGAAATGTATTTGCATTGTGTAATGGCTAAGCTGAACTAGTTAACATCACCTCACTTTGTACTTTCTGTGATTAGAGACCTCTGTTGTCAGCTGGCTATGCCATGCATTTTGCTGAATTGGTAGCAGAAGCACAGCCATCTTAGGTCCTGGTGCTTGCTTACCTGGTGACCCCAAGTATTCCATGAGAAAACTACCAGTAACAGTAAGATATACCATTTCAGCCTTTGTGGGTTAAACTCCAGGCCATTTTAGCTTTTAATGATACATATTTTTATTAAAAATAATTCATGGTCACTGTAGGAAATGTACCCAATATGGATAAGTTTTAGAGACCCATTAAAATCTTGTTGCTAGAGGATACCAGTTGTATTAGTCGGGATTCTCTAGAGACACAGGACCAATAAAATGAATATATACTATGAATAGAGATTTATTAGATTGGCTTATACAGTTGGGGCCAGTAGTTGAACAGTAGCTGCACTAGAGAGTCTGAGACCCCAGTAGTGGCTCAGTCCACGAGGCTGGATGTTTTAGTGATTCCAGTTTGGTGCTCAAGGCCTGCATGGAGGATTCCTGGAGACCCACTGATGTTTAGTCCAGTCACAAAGCCAAAGAAGCTAGGTTCTAATGGTAGTGAAGGATGGTGGCAGCAACAGGATAGCCATACTTACCAGCAAGACACAAAGGCAAGCAGAGAGGCAAAAGTAGCTCTGCTTTTCCTGGACCTCTGGAAAAAGAAGGTGCCACTCACTCTCCAGGAGGGTCTTCTCTCCTTAGCTGATTCTTCCTGGAAATGTCCTGACAGACCTGTCAGAGACCTGCATGGCTTTTAGTTGATTCCAGGTACAAAGAAGTTGATAGTTGTGCTGGATAGCTTTAGTGTCAACTTGACACACTGGGTTGAGGGAGCCTCAATTGGGGAATTGCCTCTATTGGACTGGCCTCTGGCCATGTCTGAGCTCTTGATGAGTGATATGGGAGGGCCCAGCCCACTGTGGGTGGTGCCACCCCTGGGCAGGTGGACCTGTGCTGCATAAGAAAGCAGGCTGAGCAGGGGCCAGGGGAACAAGCCAGTAAGCAGCATTCCTCCATGGCCTGTGCCCCAGCTCCTGCTTCTAAGTTCCTGCCCTGAGTTCCTACCTTGGGCTCCCTGATGAACTGTAACCTGGGAGATGTAAGCTGAATAAACCCTTTTCTCCCCAAGTTGGTAATGGTCAGAGTATTTTGTCCAGCAATGAAAACAAACTAGGACAGTAGTCAAGGTTAACCATCATATAACTAATTCTTTGTCTAATCTGAGTTGGTTGAATCATGTAAGATTGAAGTTTTTATAGGTTAAAACAATTTCATTTGGCTTAACACACCCAAAACAATTTTTTATTTTTGTGACTTCAAATGGAACTTCAAACACAGATAAGAAGTCATTTCTCTAGAATGTTATAATTCTTGCTCATAATCCTAGCACTCTGCAGATTGAGGCAGGAAGATCTCCAGGTTGAGGCCAGCCTTAGACTATCTAACAACTTCCAGGATAGCCTGAACTACAGAGTTGAGAGACTGTCTTAAAAAAAGAAGATAGATAGATTAGTAATCATTTTTAATGGAATACTTTTTTTTTGAAAGGGGTCTCATCATGTAGCCCTGGTTGACTTTGCTCTGTGAAACAGACTGGCTTCTAAGTCATAGAGATCCACCCACCTCTGCCTGCCAAGTTCCATCTCTGCCCCCCGCCCCATCAGATTGGAGTATGCTGTATGTAGTTGAACAATGGAATTATTTTTATCATATTGCACTAGAGGACTCTGAAATCTGGACTAATGTTAAATTTGGTTGATTTTTTTGGTTTTTTTTTTGAGACAGGGTCTCTCTGTAGCCCCAGCTGTCCTGGAACTCACTATGTAGACCAGGCTGGCCTTGAACTCACAGAGATCCGCCTGTCTCTGCCTCCTGAGTGCTGGGACTAAAGGCATGCGCCACCATGCCTGGCAATTTGGTTGATCTTTAAACTCCAAATCTCTACAAATCTCTTCCTTGGTAGAGAGGGTAATTCTGGAACAAAGGGTGGAGCTTGGGGGAAGTGAGAACTGGCAGCCACCAGAATCTGGGCAGAGGTTAGCAGCTGTCTGAGGTGCTTGCTCTTCCTTAATTCTGATTGGTGACTGTGACCTCATAGCTTACTCCTTTGTACTTAATGTTGATTTTTAACTGTGACTCAGCGAGTAAAAGCACTTGCTGTGCAAGCCTGAAGACCTGAGTTCAAATTCCCAGAACCCATGTCAAAGCTAGGTATCTGTTATTCCAGTGCTCCTGAAGCTAGATGGGAGGAGGAGACAGAATTCCTAAGAACTCATAGATAGGCCAGCAGTGAACAACAAAGAAGAGGTGTCTCAAAGAAAGTAGAAGGTTAGGACCATCACATGAAGCTGTCCTCTGACTTCCATGTATGTGCCATTGTGCATGTGCAGTGTGTACCCCACTCCCCGATATTTTTTAAAACTAAAAAAAAATTTGGGGGGGGGGATCTTTTTGAGACAGGGTCTCCCTGTAGCCCCAGCTGTCCTGGATTCACTATGGAGACCAGGCTGGCCTCGAACCCACAGAGATCCGCCTGCCTCTGCCTCCTGAGTGCTGGGATTAAAGGTGTGTGCCACCATGCCCAGCAAGCTAAAAATTTTTTTAAACTTAATTTTATTTATTATTGTGTGTGCGTGTGTATGTGTGCATAGTATGTGTATGTGAGTGCAGAGGACAACTTTGTGGTGTCAGTTCTCTCCTTGCACTTTTTTGTGTGAGTTCCAGGGATTGAATTTAGGTAGTCGGGCAAGTACCTTTACCTGCTGAGCCATCTTATCAAGTCAGAAGAATTTTTAATATAGAAAAATGCTATAAATGAGAAGAGGATATAGTTAATTCATGTAAAAAGAAATAGCTGTATGTTACAGTGTGTAGAATAAAACTAGAAAGTGGCTTCAGTATCTTTTTCTTATTACTTAGGCTGTATCTAGTGGGCTGTTTCTGTTGCAGGCATTTACAGTGTTGATGGCTGTCCTGGTTTGTTCTTCATGGCTGTGACAAAATACTTTGACCAATATCAACTTGGGGAGGAAAGGGTTTATTCAGCTTACAACTCCCAGGTCACAGTTCATCCGGGAGCCCAAGATAGGAACTCAGGGGCAGGAACTGGAAGCAGGAGCTGGAGCATAGGCCATGGAGGAACGCTGCTTACTGGCTTGCTCCTCTGGCCCTTGCTCAGCCTACTTTCTTATGCAACAGAGGCCCACCTGCCCAGGGGTGGCACCACCCACTGTGGGCTGGGCCCTCCCACATTACTCATCAAGAAGATGCCCTCAGATGTGACCATAGGCCAGTCCAATAGAGGCAATTTCCCAATTGAGGCTCCCTCAACCCAGGTGTGTCAAGTTGGCACCAAAGCTATCCAGCACAATGGCATAAGGTAGGACAGCACTGCCTAAGCAAACACAGCAAGCAGAGATGCAGATGCACCTTGTTGAATGCCAGCTAAGGGGGTAGACATGTTTGTGGGGCACAGAGCTGGGAGTTGCCCTATCCAGATCTTTTAAGAATGCAAAATGTTCATATTTAGTTCATGCCTCAGATAGAAGCCTGCCTAGGGTCTCCTAGACTCATATGGAAAACAGAAAGTCCCTGTAGTGCATTTGAACAGTCTAGAGTCCTGGGAGTCTAGTGAAATGAAGACTAGTTATATTTTGTTCTCTCACTGGTCTGACCTTTGTCTTGAACAAGTTCTAATTCTCTGATTCTTAGTTGCTTTTCATTCTTAGATAACCTGTAATGCTTTTGTAGACCAGCTTCAAAATATTGCTGCCAGAGATAGCTGAGATGTATTGATTGTGAGTGCATTAAGAGGCGTATCAGTTTGTTGACTGTAGTTATTGTAGTAGATAGGATCATAATTCTTTGTCCTTTGTACTGCCTAACAGTGACTTTGCTATTTATGGTTTCCAAGTTATTTTTAGGTCCAGAAAATGTTGTCAGGGTCTGTGTTGATTAGAGACTGGGGCATAAGTTGTGGAGAAAAGCGTGGGTTGGCTATTTGTTTTGGGGGAAAGAAGAGTCTGGAAACCTTGGGCAATTCTCTGTGTCCAAAAAAACAAGCTAGATGGCTCCTGAGGAATGAAAGTGGCTGTCCTCTGATCTCCACACACATGCATGTGCACCTGCATACAAAGACACACACATGATGAATGGAGAAGAGCTGGGGAGATAGCTCAGCTGATAAAGTGCTTGCTGTATAAGCATGAGGACCTGAGTTCAGTCACCAGCACCCTTGTGAAAAATCAGACAGGATGAAACACCCTTGTAATCCCAGCAATGCAGAGGGAGACAGGTGAATTCCTGGAGCTTGCTGGCCAGCCAGCGTAGCTAACCCCAGATCTCAGTGAGAGACCCTATCTCAAAAAGAGTTGCAAAGCTCCCGAAGGACAACACCCAGGGTCCCAAGGTTGACTGACCTCTACACACATGCACATTTTGAGCATACTCTCACACATGAACATGGACACATACCTGCACATAACCATGTATGTGTTCACGCACACACGAATGAAGAAGCACTGAGTGTGTAAACAAAGTCTAGTATGATGTTAGGCTATAGTACTTTTTGAGTTAAAAAGAGAAGTAAGAATTTATCTTTAGGGGCTAGAGAGATGGCTCTATGGTTAGGATTGCTTGCTGTTCTTTCAGAAGATCTGAGTTTGGTTTCTTGCATCTGTATCAGGCAGCTCACAACTACCTGTAGCAACTCCAGAGGATCTGCCACCTCTCTTCTGGCCTTCATGGGTACCCACACACTTGTGTCATACACACACACACACACACACCACACAAAGAAATAATTTATCTTTACTTTCATATGTATATATGTCAAGAAACTTTGGAAGAATGTACTGGAGACGAATAGAAGTGTTTATGTGAGGGCAGGATGAAGTTTAGGAGACTGATACTCTGACCAGTACCAACTTGGGGAGGAAAGGGTTTATCTGGCTTACATCTCCCAGGTCACAGTTCATCAGGGAGCCCAAGGTAGGAATTCAGGGCAAGAACCTGGAGGCAGGAGCTGGAGCACAGGTCATGGAGGAACACTGCTTACTGGCTTGCTCCCCTGGACTGTGCTCAACCTACTTTCTTATACAATATACACCCACCTGCCCAGGGGTGGCACCACCCATAGTGGCCTGGGTCCTCCCATATCTCTCAATAATCAAGAAGATGTCTCACAGACATGGCCACAGGCCAGTTCAATGGAGGAAATTTCTCAGTTGAGGTTCCCTTTACCCAGGTATGTCAAGTTGACAGCTAAAGCTATCCAGCACGATTGACTCCTTGTCAACTTGACACACACACACATACATACATACATACACACACACACACACACACACACACACACAATCACTATGA